ATTGCAGTGTTCACTACATGCTATAAACAAAATAATTGGTATCCTAAACCTGTCACTTTCAGTGTTTTCTTAGAGATTTTCTATTTCCATTCCATTCCTTGTAGAGTGTTATAGGGCTTTTATTATTTTTAATAACAATAAATCTCATTATTGTGGGCAAAAGGGACTCCATGCTAGTTTGTAACCAGAACAATGATGGCATATGTAACCTGATGTATATTCTGGCTGCTGCAAACATATTTCACCTAAAGCAAGACAGTTATTTTGCTGTTTGTAGTCTTAATCATCACTGAAGGAAAGAAAATCTGTATCAGTGTTTCAGTTTTGTGTTTGTTGTTTGTTTTGTCTATACTGGCCATCACCAGTGTAGAAAATCAAGGTTTATTTCATGAGGGAATAAGCTGTACGACCCATTAACTCCTTAATGTACCAGAAGTGGCTTTATTTCTTGAAGTGGTTAAGGAACGATCATACATATAGGAGGTGCTTTGTGCCTTAACTCCTAGTGTGACTTAATGGTCCTACTAGTGAGTGGGGACCCATGCTTCATGGCTACCTGGATTCTTTTTGCAGGAGGGAGATAAGTCTTGGGTTCTGCTGGGATAAGATAAAAACTTGCAGATACCAGTTATGTCTTATTGTCATTTTTGCATCTTCTGCAAAAAGCATGGGAGAGATAATAACCAGCCAGTTCCTGTAACTAGCCATAAACTAGAGAAAAACTGTTTGCCCTCTCAGAAAAAAAAGAGCTGCTACATTATCTTCATTGGTGTTTTTTTCACTGTGGGCTGCTACCAGACAGTAGGAAACCAGTATAAGAAACTACCTGAGGTCTAACTGGAATATGGCACGGCAGGTTGGAAAAAGCAGTTATAAAATCAGTATTCTAACTTTCTTTTTAAAAAGGAACATCATTTACTTACCTTGGAGGTAAAAGCTATGGGAGCAATTTTAAAGTGCTAATGTTGAAGACTAAATGTGTATCTGTGAACTATATTATAAAACATGACATGTGGAGTAGGTACATAGTGTCTTACATAATTCAATGCTTTCAGAATTCCTGATTTCAAAAAATATTTAAGGGAATGATCCAACCTTGGAGTAGCAGAATGTGGGATCCAATTGTGTTTTCTGTACCAGAAAATGTTTTCAACAGAGCAGGCCAAATTCATCTGTAGCACAGTCACAGTCAAAGGAATAAACTAGGACTGTGCTTGACCCTGGGTATTTAGATGGGATGGACCCAAGTGGTGCTCAAACACAAAACAAAGTATATATTTTTTCAATGAAACTGATGAAAAAAAAATAATCCATAATGTGTTTGGCATTTGAATTCAAAGTGTTCTGTAATATTTCAGTTTTAGAAGCCACCTCTCTCAAGCTTAGTACATTGTTTGATTTGTGTCCAGTCATGCACATACACATATCAACACACTTCCCTCCAGATTCCAGTTCAGGAACATTGTATACTTAATAGTGTGGGAAATAGACTTGCCAGATACAGGATTCATGAAGTAGCTTTACTCTTATGAGAAAGATTTTTAAAAGTCCAAGTACATGTCTGATATTTCATATTTTGGATTATGTTGTAAGTCTGAACATCAGAGCAATCATTTCAAGCAGGTTTGATTCATTCAATTTGATTAATACCTCTGCATATTTTAGGAAAATATAAAGTATCAGTTAATGTTGGGTTTTCTGTATAATTATTTTTCATATTATGTTTGAATCATTAATTTGGATGCAAAGATTTGAAGTTTGCTAAGAATTGCAGTATTTGTTTTTTGAAGTCTTTAGAGATATTTATTATCAAATTTAAGACTCAGATAATATTGTCAAAGGTGTTTGTGGTCATTTTTTTACCTGACTAATGTTTTTGAGTGGGTTTAGTCCTAATTATTTCCCCAGACACAACCTTATGATGTAAAGTACTATGTTCTTAAATTTAATGAAAGTAGAAGATGCTAAGCATGATTTGATATCAAGAATACTTCAAATAGGATCCAAAATTAATATCCGGGTTTTGAAGATGTTAGTTTGAGTTCACCATGCATGCAAAGAGCAAGTTGTGCAGAAACTGAGGTTTATGAATATTGGATTTTTTTTTTAATATATGAGGTTATTTTTAAAGTATTGAAGGCTATTTATTTTTGCCTTGTAACCCTTACAACTTCTGCAAGCCTTTTGAATATCTCCCATCACTGTCAAAATTATGGATAGTAGCTTATATGTCACATGGCCCAAACTGCTGCCTGTCACTGGAGGGTTTCTTTCAGTTCAGTAGTGAGATGAGCCTTTGCTAACACAGGAAAAACTGAGAATTACCTTGTCCTTTCTTCCATGTTACATTCCATTGTTACTTGGAGTTAGGAATATATTTTAGCTTTCTGTAATATGTGGAAGAATTGCTCTTTCTTTTTATGATTTATGACTGACACAATGGTAGGATATGTAAAAAGGAAAAAAAAAATACTTCCATGTCAATTGGTGTGGAATTATTATGTAATTTTGTTCTGTTTTGGCCACTTCTATGTCATTTTAATGACATAGTGTTAGTCACTATAAAAAATGAAGTGGAAAGGAAGATTAAAAATGCTGAGATTATTTTTTCTTGCCACTTTATTAAATAATTTTAGAAGTGAACAGAGATGTTTTGAGATGTTTTTGTGAAAGTATGGCAGAGGTTTTGCTTTTACTAAATAAATGTGTTGCTTGTTATTCTATTTATCTTAAAAAGAAACAAAACTGACAGTATTTTTAAGGTAATTTAAGTAGGCATTAAGATGAGTCATTTGCACTGAGAGACAGGGGAGTGACATTTTTTTGTCTCTCATGTGTTAAGCATATTACCTTAAGGAGGGAAAGTTTTTTGAAAGAGATGACAGCAGTTTCTAGAGAAATATTTTCTTCTCATATAGGCTATAGAGTTTCTAGTTTTATTTTTAAGGACAACAGAAATCTGTTTAAAGAGACAGTCTTGGGTAATGTAAACCCAGATTTGCATCCGCTCTCTTGATAAAATGGTGTAACTAGAATGTTGTGAATATACTTTGTAAAGCAAAACAATATCGCTCTGGTGTTAGGTATTTATGTATGTATACATAGGTCTTGTTAACTCTTGGGTGTTTGTCACGGGTCGTCTGAGATCTCTGCTTCTCTTCTGAATTCTTTTTGTTAACTCTTGTTATCATGAGAATGTGGACTTTTTTTAAAAGTGTTTTTAAGAAAATCTCTTTATCCATCACCAATGTAAAGAAAAAATTGAAAATGTTTTTCAGATTCTTTCTTAGTACTTTCAGTAATTATTTTCCATATAGGTGGTACTCACTGCTTTGAAGTTCTATAATTTCTGTAAATGTGCATAAACATTTTACAAGAATGTCCATCTTTCTCACCCACGTCTCAAATCAGTGCACATAGTTCTAAGCATCCCTTGACCATTTGTGAGCCGTGCATCCGGAAATGCAAGCTGCTTCAGTGCTGGTGTAATTGGCAGAACAGTTCATCATCCTATGCTTCATTGCCTGTAAAGCTGCTTTCAAAGTCATTTATTGGGGGTGCTGTTAAAATTCCTGGTTGCAGAATTTCAAAGTTCTTTTTTATACAAAAGAGAATCATATCTTTTTATTTTCCTCCATATGACTACCAGTAGCCAGTGAAGCACATTACTTCAAAACTGACATATGTTCCATGCTGTAATTCTAGTGGAGAACTCATGGAGAGCAGAAAAGACATAGCAGGAAACTGTTTTTTATCACTTCTACTCTGTAGGCATCTGCTTCAGATTCTGCTCTTTTGAGAAATATTTTTCTATATATTTTCAGTTATTTTTTCTTATCCTTGCTGATATTTTTTAGCTTATACCTCACAAGATACTCTCCAAGTTGAAGCTATTGTCTCCTCCTTTCCATTAATAAAATCCATTCTGAGTTCTGTTCTAAGCACCATAGGGTGATCATCACCATTTTCTTTGCAATAGCGAGATGAAGGAGGAACTCTCTGTGTAAATCTCCCCATGCTTAAATGTTGGGCAATCATTTGTGGAAACTCACGTTTTCAATTAAAGGGAGATTTTAAAATATGCATGAATCAGCTGATACTGTGTGGGTTTTGCTGTGGCTTCTTAAGATCTTAAAGCTGTAAATGAAGTATTCTGATGCTTTTTGATCTGTACCTTCCTTCACTTGATGTCTCTATTCAGTACTCTCTCATCCCAGGCCTCCTTTAGCTGAGCCTTCAACCTTCCATCATAGGAACACCCCTACATTTATAAAATAAATTGTAGTCACCTCAGCTGCACTGAACCCACTTGGAGTCAATGAGAAGATCAGATTGTATTATTTAAAAGAGGAAGGTGAATATTAACATTTTCAGGCTTTTGGTATATGTAAGGAAGCGTATCTCATAGAGTTGCCAGTATATCATCAATTTGCATGTTTCTTGACAAAGTACTCACAAGTTTGTGTGGCAGCTTGCCCCTTAAACAATTCTAGTGCTAAGTAGCACAATATCTGTAGAACTTAAACATTTTGGCATCCCTAGTAAAATGTTCACTGCCTTATGTACGTGCAGACAGATATTTCTGTGTGATTTCAAGGTATTTTAATATCTGTTCTTCCTTACGAGGCTCTGCAGTTATTACTTGAATTTGAAAGGTATTACTGATCAGTAATTCCATTATTCACTGATTCTTTTAGCTACGCACCAAATTAATTTGTTGTGTTTAAATTAAAACCTAATACCTGCTTGCACTCTTTGATAGTCTCTTTCTTGTGGAACTATTCCCCAAATCCTATAATACATACATCTAACTTTGTGGCACATGTTCTTGAAGGGATATTTTTTTCTTTTGGCAAAGTAAGTGCAAAATAACAATTATTTATTTAAGCCAGTTGTTCTATGCTGTGTTGTAGTTATTTGCTTATTTTGTTTTATTGATGCAGCAGAGAAATCTTCCAATTTTCGTTTACTAAATTTCTGTTCTCTTTCTGTTATTTAAGATGGAAGTTACAGACAAAATCGACCGAACCTCACAACACTGTTGGTACAACCAATTTCTGCAGTGCTTGCCAAAAAACTCATTTCCTTACCTGAGGAGACTGTCCAAAATGATAGGTGTATACCCCTCCAAATGCCAGCTACAGGTAATGCAGGTAATAATAATTGTCTGAACCAGGAAATTGTCCAGGTAATGCAGGTAATAATAATTGTCTGAACTTCAAGTTTTACCAGGAAAGCTGTCATCATGATAAGAATAAAATACCTTGAGTAGAGCTAGATGTAATGAAAGAATGCATCCAGAGGGTTTCTTCAGAGATAATACCGTTTGCAAAGTCAGATTATTGCTTGAACAAACCTTTTGCTGATGTAGGGGGAAAAAGTGAGAATGCAGTCTTCTAGCAAAGCGGCTGCACAGTGTTTCGATTAACACCTTCCAGATAACGTTCCAGAGGAGTTGTGTATTTAAACAGTCATCCTGTCTTTATTTTGGTTTTCTACTAGTCTGTCTTTCACCAGGAAAAAATTATATATTTTATTATAATTCCTGTTTAACTTAATTGATTTGAAGCAGTGGTCTCGGGAGAGGCAAATTGAGCTAACCAGTGTATCCTTTGCAAAGTACTGTGATGAGAGCACTAAAAGTCATTGTTAAGAGTAACCACTGTACTGTCACATATGTGCTGTATCATTTGTTTATTGCTTTTGGAAGGTTACTGTGGAATAGGAATTAAAGTATTAAAAAAGGTTGATTAATTTTATGACTTGTGCTAGCACTTCTAGTTATGCATACTAAAAAAGAAAGGCAGAAAGGCCTCATGCTTTCTGGCTTAAGCTGTCACGGTTAGGCAGCACTGTTGCATGGCTCACTAGCTGTTTTAAAGATGAACTGATCTTCCCCATAACCAGTAGACAGGGTTTCTGTAAACAGCAAAAGGAAGGACCAAGTGCTTAACCATTCCTGGTAGGATGTGTGCAGCTTGCTAGTATTAGAGGAATTTTCAACAGCTGAAGTTCCCAGAGGAAAGCATTAATTTGGGCAGGCAGACAACACTCATTTTAGAAAGATAAAAGCCTGTACTGTGTCTGTTTCTCAAAAAGCTTTGTTTGATGGCTGCAGGACAGAATCACCTACAGGGCAGCCTATTTTACTTTTTCAGTGACAGGTGTGGCATGTCTGCTTTAATTCCCTGAGAAGGCAGGAGTTCTGTGTAGTGAAAAATTTCTGGAAAGAAAGAATATTCCCACCTAGCAGTCTAGTAAGAGCCAATCCATGTCCAACTGACTCTGGGGGAATGCAGCAGCTTGTGTTTGATTTCATGTAAAGCTTTAAATTCCACAGTAGTCCATGTGGAATTAAAAAAACCCAAAACACCACAAAAGCCAACAACAACAAAAAAAAACCCATAACAATTTATTGAGCTAGTAGGGTCTATAATAAGAAGCCTTACATAATTCTGTAATGCTTTATGATATAGTTTGGCTTGAAATGATGGTGAAATTGTAGATGTGCCAGGGCCTGTACTGTGCTGAAGTGTTCAGCAGCAGCCTTAATGGAAGAGGTAAAAGACTGGTCTCATGGTAAGAAATCTTGTATATTTATTTAATAATAAGTATAGAAAAAATGCTGAACAGAGCGATGCACATGAGAGTAGTGAAGGCAGAATTTGCAATCTTCCTGTTGATTTGAAGAAGCTTAAGAGAGAGATTTCACTTCTGACGTAAAATTCATCACTTATCTGTCAAAAGACGTGAATGAGCAATTCAGATGATTGGTTGGCTTAAAATTTGTTAGAATAAAATGATCATCATTGTCTCATCAGTATGTTTCAAAAAGCTGAAGCGCAGATTCATCAGTAGTGATTAAACATTTATATATAGTTTTCTCACATTGCCTCTTTTTCCCTTAGCCTTGCAGTTTTCAAGAGACATAATTGTGACAGAGTGGGAGGATATTGAGAGAAACAGCTGAGATATATCGAATGCTTAGAACCTACAAAGTGAATAGTAACAGTTGAAGTTAGTTGTTGGTTTTGTCTCAGTTGAAGGTAGCAATTAGATTGGCTTTTTGTTTAGTAGGGTGCTTTGTTTTTAATCCTCATGAATCTGCAATTCTGTGTTCTCATGAATTGTTTGTTTTTAAAAAAAAAAATAAAACAGGCAGTTAGAAGAAGTTTAGAGTGAAGCTTTATAGAGAAGCTGTATGCTTCTGTATCTTTCCTTTTTTACAGAAAAGTACTAGGATATTTTCTAGGACATTGTGAAGATTGCCAAAGAACTAAAGCACTCCTATAAACATAAATGAAAAAGTCTGTGGTGCAGTAGGTTTTCCTTGTTTGTTAAGTTATCTGCCCCTTGATAATGTGAAATTTGAATCATTAATTATACAAATGGAAAAATTTCTCCTTCATAGCTTGCTACCTGTCAGAGAAAACAAAGACTACCATATTTATTAAACTCTGTGCCATTATACACTATGCTATCAATATGTAAATTTCTAGGTATTTGCACTATGCTAAACATAAATGCAAAAAAAGACTAAGATGCCAGCATATTGTGTGGCCGTGCATCTAACTGTATCAAACAAGTCTGAATTCATTACACAGTATAAATAATGATGTTCTGAAGATATTTCCTGTTGGCATTTCAAAGAAGTACATGTTAAATAGGGAAGGCAGACATAATACAGAAATACTGTATATTAAAACTTACAGACATTTATGCTAATCCTGATTTGTGATTCCTTAAATTCCTTTAAAAAGGTTTTGGGGCAAATAAATAATTTTATGAAAACTGTAGCTTTCATTATTTAAAACAAAAACAAAACCAAACAAACCTATTAGCTTTCAGAGTTCTTCTGAAAAGCTTGGTAGTGTGTACATAAAAAGCTAGAGCCTAACGTAAGGTTTTTGAATGACCGGAACAAGAGATCTGTTGAATGTCATTGTACCTTGACTACCTCAGCTGAATTAGGGCCCTTGAGTAAACATGGCTGTGGGTTTTTGATGATGTTTAAAAGCTTTACTTTAAAATCTATTTCAAACTGATGTATTTTAATTCAGGTGTGGTTTATGTTGATTTCAGCAAGACTTAAATTCATGTTAAAACCTGGGTTACTTGAAGTTATTCAGTGTACCTCATTTCTCTGCTCTTCTCAAATAACTCCTGGTTTTATGATCCAAGAACTAGGTTAACAAAACACATTCACTCACTTAGCACTTGATGCTTCTATACTGGAGTTAAATGTGCATGTAGGTACATTTTTGTATGTGAGTAGCAAAAATCTTGTCAAATTAGTTCAATTTTTAAATTTAAGTCCCTAATGATATTTTTTTTTTTAATCCAGTACTTAAAGGAATACTCAGAGAACTGTCTGATTGTAGGTGTTTTGTGTGATTAGAATTAAAGAATTAAACCAATGTGTTTAAAAATCAGGCTCACACTATACTTCATGCTGGTGTGAGCTCGGAGTAGTTTTTCCTTTTCTTAACTTCTAAAATTGCCAGTCAAATGAGTAGGAATTATCCATGCATCTCTAAAAATAGTTATGTAATTGAGAGAGGAGAGAGGTAGTCCTTTGGGATGAGACAATTTACAGATTTCAAGTCAAGAAATAAATAACACTTCTTAACAATAATATTCTTCTATTTCAGAAGTAGCTTTTGGCTTACAAAAAGTCGAAGTGTGTCACAAATAATGTTAAGCTAAAGTCTCATCATAGTTTTCCAGAGAATAGAGAAAAAAATAGAGCAAGTTGTCAAGATCTTTAAAATACAGCATTAGAGAGAGAGGTTTGTTGTCAGAACTGTGTAAAGCAGATTAAATTTAACTGCTGTTACATACTCCAGAGTACTTTCAGCCTTTTCATCTGGAGTACTAAGCCTTTAAGCTCAAGTCACTTTAAGCTGACTGCTCTATTACATTACTATGAACTCAAATCTCTGACTCCAGAATATATGTATTCTCAGAAGTTAACTTTCTATTTCTTTATTGTCAGTTGAAGACTGGATAGCTGATAGTTGTCTTCAAAAGGATTTATCTTCTTGTTGTCTGAAATAGAGCCTAAAGAAACAGAAAAGGAAAGGAATAAGTTTTGGGTTGAAAATCTTTTTTAGGCAGAGTAAATTGGCTCCAGAACAGCAGTAGGTGAGAAATTGCAGCAAGAAGTAACTCACATAGTATAGATTAAATTTAAACTTCTTTGTCAGCATGGATGCTGTGAGCTTCTTTCCCCTTGTTTTAAAAGACCAAAGAAAGGATCTAGGTGATGGTAGAGAGCTAGGAACTGTATTTTTTAATAAAATATTTTTGAAAAATAATATCTGCAGATTTCTAGAATACAGTTCATCATCATGTGGTGTTAACCTTACGGTAAATTAGAACAGCAAAGTTAATTACAGCTCAAACTCCAACATATGCATGACAGATCAAAATATTAAGTTGATGTGATTTATTATTATTTATGATTTTAATTAACTGTGCTTGACTTGAATTTTCTGTACTGTTGCATTCTAGCAAAACAAGAGTTGTCACATAGAGGACACAGCTACTGATAACAGAGGAGGTTTTCTCTGAATAAAGATTAGAATGAATATTGCTTGTTGTTTTTTTTTAAAGACAGAAAATTCCTAGCAGTTGGTTTACTTTTTTCAAATACCAATGAAGACTAGTGAGTGAAAATATATTGGATTTTGTTTTAAGAGAAATTTCAAGTAAATTTACCAGATGAATTGCCAGCAAATGAACCTTGAAGAACTGTGTTGTAGAGATGTATTGCTTTTATTTTACATGTCGCAGTAAACTCCCTGCTTGCATATTCCACACGTCTCAGGAAGTAAAGCCAGGAAACAAACAGCTAGGAATACATCTGTGGGAAGTTCATAGCCTGGGAGATAGAGAGCAAAATCACAGCCATGGAATATTTTATTTTTTGTCTGTGACAGTTGGGATATGGACGTTGAAGGAATTCTGGCTCAAAGATGCCTTTAAATACAGGCCTGCCATGTACTCTGCCAGTTCTCTGGCTGAAAGAGAACCTCCCTGGAGGTCTGGGATGCTACAGGACTTACTGTCAGACAGTTTCCACCTTTTACCTTAGAGCAGTTTAAGATCTTTTCACTTTTCTCAGATAGAACTTATGAGATGAATGTTAATACAGCTTATTATGCAAACAAAACATTTTAAAGGTACCATCAGCCCCCTGTAGTTAGCTGTTTGTTCCCATTGCCACACACTGCAGCAGTTAGGATGGTTACTGTGTCCCACCTGGTGCACAAAGGGAATGGCATTAAGTCTCAGCAAACAACAGTTCATTTTTTAAACTCAGATAGTTGCTTTGGTCTGCGTTACTACAGTCTCAACTGGCCTAGCAGTGCTGGCAAGTCCCTAATATGTGGGCACATTTTGGAATTTTTCTGCCCTTGTGTTTACACCGTTTCCTCAGCTGATACTGGCTAAGCCAAGACAAGCTGTGTTCTGTTGGCATAAATTTCCAAGTATATCACCAAGGGCTGTGCTGGCTAAGTGATTGGTAATGCACAGGTCTGACTTTTCCCACCTGATTGAGCATCGGGGTTTCTCCAGAAGAGTAGTGTAATATAAACCAGGTATCGTTTTCTGGATATTATTCAAAGATTGACCTGAGCAAAGGCTTAGGTGAGGAGAACGTGTAAAGATTAAGACAAATTTCCTTATCATAGAATTATTTAAATCGTACTTTTTCTCTTTAATTCTGTTGTATCCCAGCAGCATTTCTTGTGTGAATTAAATGATCTTTTAACTCAAGGAGTTGAAATTTCTTTTGAGATTCCAGCTTTGAACCTAAGGCTAAGAAAATAATGTAATGTTTCATGTTTTAATCTCTAGTTCCTCTCTAATTTTTTAATTTATTTTCTTTTTATCTTTTAACAGGCAAAAAAATAATCAGTCTGAATATTCAATCAATCACAACTTACAAGACAATTTCTAATGTTATTGGATATTTAAAAGGAACTGTTTTTCCTGGTAAGTAGCCCTTTATAATTTGTATAATTTGTTTTATAATGGCTGGAAGTCATACCTGGAGTCAGGATTCTTAATCTGAAATTAAGGGGATATTATAGTTAAAATAATTATATTTTTACACAACAGTCAGGAATTAGACCTTAAGGAGTATTAGTATTTTATACAAAGTAACTATGTTGGTGGTTTTAATGTTAGAGTGTGCTGTATTGCACAGTTTGAGTTAACATCCAGAATCTCTGTACAACTTTTAGAAAACGTTTTGATTTTTTTTTTCTAATATTAGGAGAATTTTGAGAAAAATAAAAGGGCTTCAAGTCCAGAACTGTACATACTTCAAGTGTCTCACTGAAAGCAAGGTGTAGGGCAGGATGATCTCTGGTTTAGCTAAGAATCTAATATCTAATGGGATTATAGTGTACAAAAAACTCTTTCTGAGTTCTTAATCACACTTGCTGCAGCCGTATTTTTAGTTATAATCATGCCTTAATCTAGTTTTATACAAGTCTACAAATAATAATTGCTGTTCTGTGTGTCTAAGAACTAAACAATAAGATTTGAAGTGCAACTGTGACTTGAACTACACACTCTGCCTCTTTCTTTGTTATACGCAGATAATGTAATAATCAGGAAAATGTAGGAATGAAAATAATTTGAGCTTATTCTGTC